CACGCGCGCACACACTCTCAAAGGTCACGTGGTTCACAGTTCACTTCAACACCCATATATCGCTTCCTGCCTGCCTGCCTCCTTCCCTGCCTGCCTCCTTCCCAGCCTGCCAGCCTGCCTCCTTCCCAGCCTGCCAGCCTGCCTCCTTCCCAGCCTGCCAGCCTGCCTCCTTCCCAGCCTGCCTCCTTCCCAGCCTGCCTGCCTCCTTCCCAGCCTGCCTGCCTCCTTCCCAGCCTGCCAGCCTGCTTCCTTCCCAGCCTGCTTCCTTCCCAGCCTGCCTGCCTCCTTCCCAGCCTGCCAGCCTGCTTCCTTCCCAGCCTGCTTCCTTCCCAGCCTGCCTCCTTCCCAGCCTGCCAGCCTGCTTCCTTCCCAGCCTGCCTCCTTCCCAGCCTGCCAGCCTGCTTCCTTCCCAGCCTGCCTCCTTCCCAGCCTGCCTCCTTCCCAGCCTGCCTCCTTCCCAGCCTGCTTCCTTCCCAGCCTGCCTCCTTCCCAGCCTGCCAGCCTGCCAGCCAGCCTGCCTGCCAGCCTGCTTCCTTCCCAGCCTGCCTCCTTCCCAACCTGCCTGCCTGCCTCCTTCCCAGCCTGCCTCCCCAGCCTGCCAGCCTGCCTCCTTCCCAGCCTGCCAGCCAGCCTGCCAGCCTGCCTCCTTCCCAGCCTGCCAGCCAGCCTGCCAGCCAGCCTGCCTGCCAGCCTGCCTGCCTGCCTGCCAGCCTGCTTCCTTTCCAGCCAGCCTGCCTCCCCCCCTGCCATCATGCTAACGGGTAGTGTGTGTTAGGCTTATCTTCGGGAATGAGCCGGTCTCACCCCCACCACCAACAAACCACCCGCCCCCCTACATCCCATCTCTCAAGGTCACGCGGTTCAACCGCGTGACTACCACTCACTCCCTGCCTGCAAGCTAGCCTGCCTGCCTGCCTGCCTGCCTGCCTGCCTGCCTGCCTGCCTGCCTGTCTGCCTGCCTGTGCCTGCCTGCCTGTGCCTGCCAGCCTGCCTTTCCCTCCCTAATTCTCACTACTTCCATCCCTTCCTGCCTACCTCCTAGCATCTCTCCCTACCTCCCCCTCCCTCTTAGCATCTCTCCCTACCTCCTAACATCTCTCCCTACCTCCCCCTCCCTCCTAGCATCTCTCTTCCCCCCTCTCTCACTGATTCTCCCCCCCCAGTCAGCCATCACCAGTCAGCCATCACTGACGCAATGCGTGCATTTGGAGCCAACATGGTGCACAGATGTTTCTTGATTGTGCAGATATGTAAAACAAAAGCACAGAATGAACATTCCAGCCTTATGGCAATTCAAAATAATAGGAATAATAGGCCGTGAATCTGTGAAGTCACAGTGGGCAAACTGGACCATCGCCCACCCACCACCACAAGCCGGCGTGACGCTTGGTGGACCCCTTCCTACCCGAACTTTGTTCGGGTAGCATGACTCCCCAACCCCAATCGGGAAACTGGAAGTTTCGGATAACTAAAGTTCGGAAACCAAGTGGTGCTCTGTAATCCGGCTGGGGGTCCTTCCCATATAGTCCGGATGATCGAGTGGAGACAGTATGGTAGACAGTGGCTCGGAAAGCTCCTCTTTGCATTCTTTAAGCACCCTGGCAAACACTTCATCCGGCCCTGGGGATTTGTTTGGTTTTAATTTTACTATTTGTTTAAGAACATCCTCCCTGGTAACTGCTAAACTCGTCAACCTGTCCTCATCCCCACCCACATAGACTTGTTCGGCTGAAGGCATATTGTTAAGTTCTTCTTTAGTAAATACAGATATAAAATATTTGTTAAAAATACTACTCATCTCCTTGTCACTATCCGTTATTTGACCTGTCTCAGATTTTAATGGACCTATCCTTTCCCTAGTCTTAGTTCGATATAACTGAAAAAACCCTTTAGGATTTGTCTTTGCTTGCTCTGCTATGCGAACTTCATAGTTTCTTTTTGCTTTCCTAATCTCTCTTTTAACATTTCTAACCAGTTGTATGAATTCCTGTTCTAACCTGACTTCCCCATTCTTAATCCTTTTGTACCAAGCTCTCTTTTTACTTATAAGGTTCTTTAAATTATTTGTTATCCACTTTGGGTCATTAGTATTCGATCTATTCAATTTGTATGGTATACTACGTTCCTGTGCTTTGTTTAGAATATTCTTAAATAAGTTATATATTAAATCCACATCGAAATCCCCTTTTACGTCACCTATCGCTGGGTTCATGTCTCGGTCTAAGACCGGCCCACACCCCATACCCAAGACTTTCCAATCTATTTGACCCAAAAAATTTCTTAGGCTATTAAAATCAGCTTTTCAAAAATCTGGCACTTTTAACAGAATTTTCTCCTACAGGTCTATTCCATTCTATGCTAAATCTGATTACTTTGTGATCACTGTTCCCTAGCTCACTCCCTATTTCGATGTCATTAATTTGTGTTTCCCTGTTAGTTAACACTTTCCTGGATTTTCGACTTGGACTTACGGGCGGTTTGCTTAACCGCTTGTCGGATCACGACGTAAATTTACAGACCGTGTTATATTGGGTATTTACTACTCGATCGACTTGGGGTTTGTATGAATGTTTGCCATTAAATTTTTGTTTTCTCTAATAGGCACTGTGCCTATTTGAGAAAACGGAAATGTATTGTAACTTAGAGGAGAGACTATTGAATTGGTGACACAACGAGGGTAATCGCGCACTCCACACACTCTTGTGTTGGCCGCGATCATGATTCTACATTTATATGCATATGTCTGTGTAGAGAATTTTATTCCGAACACTATACAAACAAAAAAACGGAGTGAATCAAGTATAAACTTGAAAAAACATGAGCAAAGTAAAAACTTTTTACGCTCACGGGTACAAACACGCGTAAGATTCACGTAAGATTTTATTCGCCGCAAATTTGACGCTCTGTTGGCCAATTCTACCTATGTTCTTATAGAACTTTCTATTGTGAACACATTGCTATAAAAATGAAATACGTAGCTCGAGAAATAATGTCATGACAGTGAAATAAGTATAAACTTTCAAAGCGCTGCATCACAACAGTGTCGTCGCTGCTGAAATCACGGCTAACGCTTCGCCCAGTTCCCACACTCGTGCGGAACATAATTAGACATTGATAGGCATATGTCTGGGTGGGGAATTTTATTGCGAGTTCAGTGATATCAAAATAAGCGTTGTAGGATGACTGTGAGGCTGGCAACAAACGAAAGAGTATGAACATTTACTTCCTGTTTGGGTGTCACGGCGAGTCATCTTCGTGTTTATTTACTTCGTGGTGGGATAGCAAATGCTTGGGTGACATTTTATGCATATGATCTTGTAGAGAATTTTATTGCCAACGCATTGATACCAAAATGAAAAACGTAGCTCGAGAATTGATGTTAGGAGCGTGAAAAGATTATAAACTTTTTTGTGTTTACGCTTGCGCGCCCAGAACGCCGCGCGCACAACCCGCTTTTTTTTTCAGGGAGTGCCGCGTGCACTAAAGTGTTAACACTAAATCTAAAATATTATTTTCCCGCGTTGGTTCCTTAATGTGTTGCGTAAGAAAGCAATCGTCAATTAATTCTAGAAAATCTTCTGCTTCACTATTCCCTGTTTTGTTCACCCAGTTTATTCCACTAAAATTAAAGTCACCCATGCCATAAATACTGTTAGATCTAGATGCTCTAGATATTTCATCCCATAGATGCTTTGCTTCCATTCTGTCTAAATTTGGTGGCCTATATATATCTCCTATTATAATATTATTTGCTTTTTCGTTTAATTCTATCCAAATAGTTTGTGTGTGGCTCAGTTTTGATTCCCTCTTTGAGACTACATTTCAAATTGTCCCTAACATATATGGGTACTCCCCCTCCTCGTCTAATATATCTATCTGTGTGAAATAGTTTAAATCCATTTATCTGATATTCAGCTAATAGTTCTCCATTTTCTACATTCATCCATGTTTCGGTATGTGCAATAATATCTATTTTTTCTGTGCAGACAAGAGCATTTAATTCATTAATTTTATTTCTTAGATTTCTACTGTTAGTGTAATATATCCTAAGTGAATTGTTATTTTGAGGCCCTTTTCTTTCCCTGATCATTTTGCCAATTCTTTTCTCCCATGAACACATACTTTTATTACCTCCTTCCTCCAAATCAATTCCCATACCACTATCTACTAACAGTTTAAACCCAAACAAACACCTCTAACCACTGGTATCAACGAGTTCGCAACAGCAACAACCCCAGCCCTCGATAGATGCACTCCATCACGAGTATACATTTCATTTCTTCCATAGAAGTGTTCCCAGTTGTCTATGAAAGATATTGCATTTGATTTGCAATATCTTTCCAGCCGGCAATTGACACCAAGTGCCCTCGACATCCATTCATTTCCCACTCCCTTTCTTGGAAGAATGCCACATATGATCGGGATTCCTCCCTTGCTCCTAACTAATTCAATGGCTGTCCTGAATCTCTGTATTAGTTCCTCACTCCTAACTCACCCAACATCATTACCCCCTGCACTAATACAAATAATTGGTTTGTTCCCATTTCCCGTCATAATATCATTCATGTTTCCAACAATATCACCAATTCCAGCTCCCGGATAGCAAACCCTTAATCTGCAAACCCGGATAGCAAACCCTCACTACTGAGACTCTGACACCCGGCAATGTGGACCATGGTTTTTTTTTAAAGATGGCGTCTGTTTACAAGAGCCCTGAGGAAGCTGATGTGAACCCCATGTATCCGCGGGAGTTTTGAATGGAACGTGAAAAATATAAACACCTGGAGGCGCGTTGCGCAGTTAAAGGGTTAAATCTCTAAGTCTGTCAGTAATTGCAGTATTTAGGGTTTATTTTAAGTATCCATTAAACCCTGAATAAATTTATAACATTGTGTGTAAAGAGTAGATATGTGATTTACAGACCTTGTGCAGTATTTCATGCTGTAACTCTGACCAGAGACCCATTGACAAACTGTAAATGTTTGTAAACATTGTTACAGGTAGATGAACAAGCACCAAAGATTCCCAAGTTTGATGCCATGATGTTGTTTGGAGAACCTGTAAGGTGGGAAACATCACTTCAGCTGATGATTGATATTTTAATGACTGGAGGCGATCTTTCAGCGAGTCCTACTGCTCCTTACCCCCACCTCCCCATCCTAGCCTGCAACATGGATCTTCAGTGGATGGCTGAAGCACACATGCCTAGGTAACTAACAGATGAGCTCGTCTTACATTACTATATATTGGAAAATATTATAGGTCTTTGGTTTTTCACTTGATTAGGGGATGCTGAGCCAACCTGTCCTCTTACAAATCAAGTCTGAAATTGCTCATTTGCTCGTAACCAAAAATGGATGTAATTTGAAAATGAAAAATGAAAATAAATTTGGATTTTTTTTTTTTTTTTTTTCAAAACAATAAGTTTAGGGTCCTCTGGTAGGTCAAGAGTGCAGGAAATTCTCCTGAAGTTTCAAAATGTTTCAAAACGGGACAATACGTCACTTTCGTGAGCCGATTTCCTTTCAAATTACCTGTACTGTACGCGCATGTGAGCGAAAAGCGACAGTGTTTTTAAGAGGATGGGTTGGCTGAGCAGCTGCACCCTTGTGTAAAGGTTGGGCCATTTATAGCACATCCCTGCATGTGCATTACACTTTTAAAATGTCATGTCCAATAAAGCAAATGATTCTCATTTTTGTTAGTAACCCCTGAATTATGGCACATAATGTGGTGCATTGTATAAAAGTGGTCATTGACACGGCAGTCAAGTGGTGACTTATTTTTTTATGCTGGGGGCCAGATTTACGAAGCAGTTACGCGAGTACTTACGAACGTGTACATCTTTCCTCAATCTTTGGCGACTTTGGTTACAATTATTTAACAGTTAATGAGCTCCGAAGCACCAGGAGGCTGTTTATAACAATAACAGATGATTGGGAAGTTTTCATGCTTGTAAACTGTTTAATAAATGTAACCAAAGCCGTCAAAGATTGAGGAAAGATGTACACATTCGTAAGTGCTTGCGTAAGTTCGTGAATCTGGTCCCTGGAGTTTAAATAGCAATTGTTGCAAGATGTTTCCAACTGTAGTTGCTAGATATCGATGCATTGCCCAACACCCTGAAAAGCAGCAGCTTGCCCCCCTTCTGTACCTTGACAGCCACACTGGGAGGGTGTATTTCCTTTGGTGTCCATTCTTGATTGAATATTGGTTTATAGTGAACACTTGAAACTGACACATTCTCATATGACTTGGGTATTTTGCTTCTTTTCAAACAAATCTACAATTTCATTAAAAACTGTAAATATTTTTTTGAGAAGGGAGCCGTCAGTTGCGATAAAGACAGTTATCAGACACCCATAGTTAGGTTGCCTAACCAGTTAGTTGAATAATGCTATTAAAATGAATAGCATTGTGTGTCCTTTAAAAAACACAAAAAATTGTGTCCTTTACAATATGTATGCAGTAGAACATTCATAATGTTCCATGGAACTGTGATACACATGTCAGTAATGTGTCCACAATAAATGTTTATTGTCGCAATATTACTTGTTAAAAAATTCACTAAAATTACAATATGTACAGTTTCACACACTATTTACACAGTAACACACTGTATTACACACTCAGTACTTCGGAAGCGAGTAATAATCAATGAAGTAGTCCATGGTACACAGCATAACTTTGCTCTCGTTGCACCAGGTAGAGATAGATTTTCGCTTCCTGTTTCTTCGTTCTGTGTGCTTGCAAATAACACACTCACGTACACCCTTGGCATTAGTACCTGTAGGTGGTATGTAGCCAAACTTGTAAAATGTAAGGTAGTCTTGAAAAGATTACAGGAAAAGATCAATTTGTAAGGTAGTCGTGAAAAGATCGCTTTGTATGGTCCCACACAAGAAGAGATTCAGCCAGCCTCAAAGAGTATCTGTCAGTCAAGAAAAGATTCGGCTATTCTTGAAAATGTCTATGGAAAACACCACCATGGAAGCCACTAACACTGTTCATTTATACTACTGGTATCAGATGCATCATCACTGACCACAGAAAACGATTCATCTATGTATCATCTAATTAAATTGGAGATAACATAGGTGGGCAAGGGTGGCGCTCAGAGCTACAACTGGATACGCTACAGGTACCCATTGTATCCTTCTCATAGGTGCTGTATCACTTGCATCCAGCCTTTGTGTTAGGTCCTTATTGTGCCTAGCTTCACCAATATTATGACCCTTATGTTCTTCAAACAATAAGGTTTGAATTTCACCGACAGAGCATGATCTTTCAACACCACGTCGGACAGGTGTTTGGGAGCTAGAGGCGCATGTGCCACCCATGGTTACTCACTCAGTACTAACCCAGCCAGCAGCCCTAGGGCATTCTGGGTATTTTTCAAAGATGGCTGCCTCTCACTGGAGGACCTAAGAGTCCATTTCGTACACAACCAACCTCGCACACACATTTAGAATGGGTACGAAAAAATCAGAGTTTTCTCGGTTGGCGCAGTTTTCCACCAACCGAGAATACTTGGTGCAGTTCAGTGGTTAATCCTAAAGATTTTTTGTGTTGATTTTTAAATTCATGGAAAATTCAAATGAAATGTGCAAAACATTAAATGAACAGTTCTAAAGTGTTTGTGCAAAATGTAATCGCCAAAACCAGACACAATGAGAATTCCAGAGAGCAACATAGAGCACAAGATGTGTTTAGAGATGAAGTGGGGGAAAAATGCTCAAGGAGCTAAGTAACAACAAAGCAGTTGGCCCAGGTGGAGTTTCACCATGGGTTATGAGAATGTGCACCCGAGCTCAGCACTCCACTTAAACTGATTTTTCAGGCATATCTGTGTAAAGGAGTTGTAGCTGATGTGTGAAAAAAGGCTAACATTGTTCCAATCTACAAAAGTGGCAGCAGGGAAGACCCCCCTCAATTATAGACCTGTATCATTGACAAGTGTAATAATCAAAATATTGGAAAAAATAATTAAAACTGAGTAAACACTTGGAGAAAATAAATATAATACACAGTATGGGTTTTGATCTGGAAGATCCTGTGTAATGAATTTACTTAGTTTGTATGATCACCACAGAGATTTTACAGGAAAGAGATGGTAGGGTTGACTGCATATATCTGGACCTTAAAAAAAAAATGTTTTCGATAGAATTCCACAGAAGAGGTTGTTGTGGAATCAAATATACTGGAGGAGTGACAGGGAGGCTTCTAATATGGATGAAAAATTTTCACATAAAATTTGGACATCAGAGGCAATGTATTGGACTGGAGAAATGTAATGAATCGAATACCACAGGATTTAATTCTTGTAGTGATAATGTTCATTGTCTACATAAATGACCTACCAGATGGAATACAGAATTATATGAAAATGTTTGCCGATGATGCTAAGATGATAGGAAGGATAAGAAACTTAGATGATTGTCATGCCCTCCAAGGCCATGTTATGAATGTGGGATAGAACAGATCCCACACAACCTACAAATTATGTGAAAAATCTTGTTAAAATTCTGATAGAGATCTAAGGGCAGTTCTAGATAGTTTTCTATCACCTGAGGACCACATAAAGAACATAGTGCATAGAACCTATGCTACACTTTTTAATTTCAGAATTGCTTTTAAATACATGGATGGTGAAATACTAAGGAAATTGTTCAAGACCTTTGTTAGGCAGGATGTGCAGAATACCCATGTTAAAAAGTAGAGGTGCAATAGGTACTCTGAGAGAGAACTGTCAACATCAGAGGCAGGAGACTGTTCAACGCGGTTCCGCTTCACATAAGGGGCATAGCTGGCTGACTGACCCCTCGCAGTGTTCAGGAGAGAACTCGATAAACACCTCCAAAGGATACCTGATAAACCAGGCTGTGATTCATACGTCGGGTTTCGAGCAGCTGCGTCCAACAGCCTGGTTGACAAGTCTAGCAATGAGGAGGCCTGGGCAAGGACTGGGCTGCGGAGATGCTAAGCCCAGAAACCATCACCAGGTACCCACAAGGTAAGGTAAAGGTGACCAAAGCAGGAATATGCAGTGTGGTATGGTGCCCATATCTTAAGAAGCACATCAACAAACTTGAAAAGGTGCAAAGACATGCAACTAAATGGCTCACAGAACTGAAAGACAAGGTCTAATGAGGAAAGGTTAGAGGCATTAAATATGCCAAAACTAGAAGAAGAAAAAAAGTGATATGATCCCTACGTACAAAATAGTAATGGGAATCTACAAAATTGATAGGGAAGAATTCCCGAGACCTGGAACTTTAAGATCAAGGGGGTCATAAATTTAAACATAAAAAGCTGCTGAAGAAATATAAGAAAATTTACTTTCGCAGAGTGGTAGACGGTTGGAACAAGTGAGAAAGTGGTGGTCAAAATGGCCAGTAGTTTTAAAGCATTATACGAGTGCTGGGGAGACGGGACACCATGAGCGTAGCTCTCAACCTGTAACTACTCGGGTAATTACAATAAAACATTGGTACATGGAAAAATTGCTAGTCTTAAAACTTGTAAAAATTGCATAAGTTTCCATAGCTACTAGGCTGTGGAGGGTGGAATGGATGGATGGATGGATGGATGGATGGATGGATGGAGTACTGTACATAAAAATTTGTCGGAGAAATAATGAAGTAACCAACGCCATCTACAAGTGTTGATCCCATCGGTAAAGAGGGTGGTAGTGCAGGAAGGGGCATTTCATTACACTTAATATATTCTAATACTAATATTAATGATTGTTGATCTTGCAGGTTTGGACATGGAGCCTTCTTGCTGTGCTTAGAAGCTTTATATAAGAAAGTGACTGGAAATGACTTGATCTACACAGCCTTGGTTGGCAAACCATCGGAAATTACCTATTACCATGCAGAGACCATGGTGCAGCACCATGCAAGGTTAATAGGAATCAATCACCCTATAACTAAGCTCTATGCAATTGGGTGAGTATTTTGTTCAAGCTAGAATTTTTCCTACTAACATTAGTAGGAAAAGCCTTCACAAAGTATAATAATTTGTTAATTAGGTTGGATGTTGGTAAAAAACTTGATTATTATTTATTAAAAGTTTATTTTGAACTTTGGAAGCTGGAACTGCATTTTTTCCATAGTTATCTTAGCAACATGGGGATCTATAATTTTATTGAATAATAATTTGTGTTGTTAGTTGGTGTTCCCCTAAATAATTATGTGGGTCTTTTTATAAGGGAGCACTTTGGTGACTCCCTGTAGCCATGTTGCCGAGATGGATCCCCACTACTTTGTCACATCAGCAAAAAGACCTGCTTGGCCGTTCATTGCCCAGAGCCAGAACCTGGCCTCGCGACTGTCTCGAGACTGCCTCGCGACTTGGAGTTGCCATGACTGGCTAACAGGGTGGCGTTTCAGTTGTGGCACACCATCCTACAGCTGTGGTTTGTTGTTAGCTACTCTGCATATGGGGGCTTTCCATTTGCATATGTTTGAAAGTTTATCATTCTTTTCCCACTTTTTGGGGCATTTTTTATTTAGCAAATGTGTTCTTGTTCTTACCGGTAACTCGGTCATTCACTTTTGTGTGACACATCTCAGGTGTGGGTCATGTTTGCTATGAAATTGGTGGAGTGGTACATGAATTGGCATTTCCTTCATCACTGCCGAGGTGTTGTCTGTAGTTTTGGTAAGTTTGTACTCTCCTCGTTGTACTCTTCTAGTTGTACTTGCAGGGGCTGCGCTTCGGTTCTTTGGGCCCGCCTCTCTCCCGTCATTCTACTGGTGTAGTCTACCCAAGTGTAGTTACAGGATGAGAGCTACCCTCGTGGTGTCCCGTCTTCCCAGCACTGTCATATAACGCTTTGAAACTACTGACGGTTTTGGCCTCCACCACCACCTCGCCTAACTTGTTCCAACCGTGTGTGCACATTCCTGAGCTTCTTGGGCTCCTGTGTTTGCAGCCTTCTCATCACTGTCTCCTGCATTCCTTTTCGTTACTACTCTGCCTCTGGATAAATTTTTTCATGTATGTGGCTCCTTTGGGTACTCGGTTAAAACCTGTTTCATTTTGGGTGTACCAAGCGTATTGAGTCGTCCATCTTTTTCTGTCCTGTCCGTTTCCCTGAGGACTTGTGGGTAGTGGTCATGTCTCCCAGTCTTGTTCCCAGAGCACTCTTGTCTTGTGTACAAGACTGGTACTTCTGTATGTTATTACCTCAGTCTTGCGTTCAGATTGTGGTTCTTGGCTTGTTTTCATTATTATATTGTGGGCACTAATTTTGTGCCTAGCGACCTTGCCCTGTATGCTTGTCTGGCTCCTAAGTCTACGGCCCTCAGTATCCTGTCCGTATTACAGCCATTTTAGCTATGGGGTTCTTGTATAATAAAAAAAATAAAAAATAAATAACATTGTGCGTTATCTGCCGGCAAATGCGGTAGGTAGGGATCCCCCCAGATCCATTTCTGGGTGTTTTAGGGTGTCCTTGCGTTGGTTACCATCTCCAGTTTCCTCTTCAGGTTTTCTCTCGCTCGATGTGTTCATGGCCACCTCATCTCTCGGTTGGGGCTTTGTGACCAGTGCTCACCAGTTCAGCCAGGGTCATTGGAGGGCTGTCCTACATCGGGCTCGCAGCATGGTGGAAGAATTTGTGGCAGGTGCTGTGCCAGATTTTGCTTTCTCGGGGCTCGGTGATCCGGCTCTATTTGAACTGCTACCCTGTGGCTCATTGTTTCGACCGGGGGGGTGGGGGATACCTTTGATCCGTGGCTCTTTGGAGCTGGTCACTACGGATGGCTCTCTTGCTGAGTTCTCGGGGTAGGGCTCTCTGCGCTGTTCACATTCAGGGAGTGTCCAACAGCTGTTATTCTTCATTCCTCTTTCCACGGAGTGGACGGTTAATGCTGCCACCTTCCTTTGGCTTTGTTGGCCATACGGGCGCTCAGAGGTAAACCTCCCCACATTGGAGTGCTGCATTTTTTGGTGTTCATCATCGACTGCTTATTGTCACCATTTCGCAAGTTGTTTCGGGCATTCTTTCTCCTCTTCATGCCTTTTGATATCCAGGTCGTGTTTTGGTTTTCCTTCCTCTCTTTGGTTTTGTCACCCTTTCGATCCATGTCTTTTCTAACACCTTTTTGCTTGTTAGGCCCTATTGGGTAGTTCCTTCATTTGCAGCCTTCCTGTTCTTATCTGGCTATGGAGAAGTCTACAGTTTCCAGAGGGTTGCTGTAGTTGTTTTATTCTTTGCTTGTTTGGCCAGGGCTGCATCATTATTTTTATCCAGTTGTGGCTCTTGGTTGTTATTTGGACACCACTTGGGAGGCTCTCGGTGATTATTTGTCAGCGCAGTGTCCTTAGTTCCTTTTTCCCCAAGGTCTCTTTGTCTCGGGTTATACAGTGTCATCCAGTATAGCCGACTGTGGTCTACTCAAGCCCATGATGATGATCAGTTTGCAGCTTTGCCTGAATTTTCCTCTGGGCCACTAACACTAGGGGCTTTGACGACGACAGGAAACCGGCGGCTTGTCGAGGGGTTTCCCCCATTTGCCTTCATAGCCTTTCTCAGTTGGATTTTGAATTTAAAGTCTTTGCATTTACAGCTTTGGTGGGTAGGTTGTTCCATAGATTTGTTGGCTCCTTTTTGCCTATACAGTATATCTTGGGCTGATATTGAGGCTCAATGGTTCTGAGAGCATGATCTCTGGTCAATGTACAAAGGCCACTCCAGGCTTGTGTGACGTGCGGTGGAGTTACCCACCACCGATTTCTCTCTTTTTTTTTTTTTTTTTTTTTTGAGTGGGGGGGGGGTGTCATCAGCTGCTCACCTCCATTCCTGGTGGAGGCTCACGATTCTATATTCCTTAGTGAGATATCAACAGGGGGCCACCTTGCTCTCTGCAGAAAGAGATTTCATTACATTCAATAATGGGTTTTATTTTTCAAATTTCACTCCAAAATTCACAAGTTTTTCCTGAAAATTATCGGCAAACTTCGATCTCACAATATTATTTTTTCTGGGGGGAGCCCCTACGGTTTCCCGGAGGTATCCATGGCTGATATGGATACCCTAACTATTTTGCATCAGTCGATGTGGGTGGAGTTCTAGGCCTACCGGGGACCACGAACCAGAACCTGGCCCTCTCAGAGAGGCACGGGGAGCAATGGCCTATAGAATGGCACATGTGATTTGGAGCATTCTTTATCTGCCATCGACCGGGACAGGCACCCAGAAAGGTAAGCGCCACAAAACAAACCCCTATTCTGGTTAACAACAAAAATCGACAAACGAGTGGACAGAACTCCCCCAAGAAAACGAACTAACAAGCATGGTGTCACACGAGCCGTGCCGCATGTCTGCGCAGCTCCCCCCTCCCCGGGAGGGGGAAGGGGGAGCCCCAGACCCCCTGCACCGGCGATCCCCGCCCCAGTTCTGAGGCTGGATATCAAAACCATGAAAAAAAATGCCAACCGGAGGGCGGGAGGGTGCCGGGGAGCCTCTGGGACTCGCCCAGAAAATCGCTTTTCATTACATTCAACGCTGGTTTTCTGGGGGGAGCCCCTACGGCTCCCCGGAGCTACTTCACCAAAGACTACCTAAGAAAACAAGGGGACATACCCGGGAGGCGGTCGGTGAACCACACCTCAACACGAAATAGAGACAGCAACCCAAGGACCCCTCCGGAAAGACCAGAACGGCACAGGTAGTGCATGAGCGGGCCGGAGGTGAAACAACGCACGAGACAGCCTGCAAAACGGCGCAGAAGGAAAATCAATACCGATAGCTAGCAGCAGAAACCAAGGTGCCAGACCCAGGACCGGCCCCAAGCACCTCTACATCCTCCACAAGCCAATCCTATGACAGCCCCAGGAGGGAAAAGAAAACGCAGGACCAAAACCAAAATGCCACAAGCATGCAAGTCCACCTCCACAAGTGCAGCCGACAGGGAAGGAACCCGCATAAGGAGCTGCCCCGCACCAACATCCCGCAGAAGGGCAGGAGCGAAAAGACTCATTAAGAGGAGCAAAATCGCCCCCAGGAAAATGAGTAGCGCCGAGACAGCGCTAAGAGAAGAGATATGAACAAAAGAACAAGGCCAAACACCCAGAAGCTGCCTGGAAGAGGACCCACAAGCCCTAGAAAGGACCGGAGGGAAGCTCAACCGAATGACGAAAGACGTACCAGAAAACGGGAAGGAGCAAAACCGTCCCGAACCTTCGAGAACAAAAAGAAGCCAACAAAGGACGAAGGCACGAAAACCCCGTCGCACCCGAGACCAAAAGTCATGCAGAAACCCCAAGAAGAGGGGGACATGACGGAGAAGGCCTGTCACGGAAAAAAGGGGCAAAGACTGTAGAAAAGCACCCACCGACAGGACGGAAGCAACGGGCACAATGGACAAGGAAATCGAGCCCAGGGAGGGGCCGACGCCTACAAAGCACGTGAGGAGAGGGGGAACGGAAAAAACCCCACACTACAAAACTGCAAGCCCCGCCCAGAGGGGTAGAAATACCCCGGCGGGGACCAATGTGAGGGGCCTCAGGCCCCATTAGCCCCACCCCAGCCCCGGGAACCCACTCTGCAGGCCCCAGGGCCGAGCTGACCCCCCAAAGCCCCAGTGTCAAGAAAAACCCCGGGGCAGCCGTGAAAAACACCAAGGAAGGGAGCCCACCAGGCTCTGGAACTTGAACCGAAACCGGAGGATAGGCGAGGGGCGAGACAAAGACCCCAAGCTCATCCCCAGCCAGCACAATGAGGCGAGGACAACGAGGACAGGACAACGAGGACAGGACAGAGAATCCAAAGAACATGAAAAAACCAGGCCCGGCACAGCAAGACCGGCAAGGAAGGAGGGCCCCAGAGGGAGCACGGAAGGGCCGAACAAAATGCCACAATCAACCCCAACACGCAGCTGCAGTACCAAAACCGCAGCAAAACGTCGCCACACTCCCCGAGGAAGCGACAGAGGAGATAAAGATAAATCGTAACACAAGAGGCACACAAGGGCACACAGGTGGAAACCGAGCACCCAACTGAGCCACAGGGACGGTAGAAGAAACGTGCGCAGTGTAACAGGCAATCGAAGGAACACATTAGGCAGCCCACTTGGGCTGTCTCCATACACAGCCCCAAGAGCAGAGACGAGAGCGCCCATGAAGTACAGAATCCGCTCGACAGGCGAACGACAGGGGAGAGGCAGAACCAAAGAGCCAGAACCCAATCCTGGAAGCACAAGGAGGCAAGCACAAAACACCCTCGACACAGGAAAACGTACCACTGAACAGGCACCCCCCCCCCACCTTTGCACCGTGGAACAAGGCGGAGGCGAGGCCCCGAACTCAAGCAAGGTTAGACGAGCATAGGAGAGGGGCAGGAGGAGCACAGGCAGGAGCCATCTCAGAAGGGCCAAGAGGCCACCCGCAGACACCCGTGAACCGAGGAAGGAATCAGGTGGAGAGAACAAGAGCTGCCCTGTATGGGCTAATAGCCCTTCAGTAGGCACCTCGGGTGGTACGGTCCACGTTCTCAAGTACGTAAGTACACCCATTCCTAGTTCCAAAAACAAAGACAGGGTCAGGACGAAGGAGACGCCAAACCGCACCAACTCGCCTGCAGAACATAGGCGCTCAAGGGCCATGACGCAAGCCTATGAGTCCGTAGCCGCCAGAGGCGGCCAGGGCGCCCAAGCTGGAGAGGAGGAGGGGAGCGGCGAAGGAGGCTCCACACCCTAGAATGCAGGGAAAAACTTTGTGACTTCCCCACAGCGACACTCCAGAACACCCCCAAAGCAACGGGGCACGGATTGGATTAAGAAAAGAGCGAGAGGCGAAGCCCCCAAGAGAAAATGGATGCAGAACAACACGTGTGCACATGAGAAGGAGCCCAACAAGGCGACAAAGGGGCCCAACAAGGCGACAAAGGGGCCCAACAAGGCGACAAAGGGGCCCAACAAGGCGACAAAGGGGCCCAACAAGGCGACAAAGGGGCCCAACAAGGCGACAAAGGGGCCCAACAAGGCGACAAAGGGGCCCAACCGGCGACAAAGGAGCCCAACCTGTCCAGAACAGAAGGAACCAGTATGGAGGCAAACTCCGGGACACGCAGGAGGTAAGCCGCAAAGGCCAACTGCACCGCAGGCGAAGAGATGCGGGTAGCAGAAAACCTCCGGAAGACGGAACCGAAGCACCACAGGGATACGGAACCGAATCCGGGGAGGAGCAGAACCCAAGCCCAAATCGTACGCAGAGGGGGGAAAGAAAACCCCACTCCTCGCAACAGTAAGCCCCGCTCAGAAGGACGGAAATCCAGGCGGGGCGCAATGGAGCCCAAGGCCCCCAGGCCGCTCCTCCCCAACCCCAGGAGCCTCTACACCAGGCCCCGGGGCCGAGTCGAGCTCCAAAGTCCCGGCCCCACAAGAAAAAGCCGGGGCAGCCGAGAGAGCTGGAAGAGAAGGGGCCCACTGGTCAGACCCCGAAGCATCAGCCGGAGGAACAGACCCGAATGCCTCCGCAGCTACCCCGGATGGGGCAACCCCCCAAACTGCCCAAGTCTCAGAACCACTAACCCCGCCCCGACCCCGAAGCCTGCAGATGCGGAGGGGCCGGAAGCAGGAGGGGGAAAAAACAATGGGGGGCGTGGAAGGAACCAAGGCCGAAGCGACCAAAACCCCCAAGTCTGGGTCCCTACACAAAGCAGGGCAGCATCGGGGCATCCGGGGAAGCGACAAACCCAAGCGCGTTGCAACAACCTACCTGGCAACGCGCGAGCTGCCTGTATCCACGGGAATTCATCAGCAGACTGGGTGAATGGAGTCACGAACAAGCAACAAAGCTCGCAGGACTCAGGGTCGAATGTGTCACCGACCCAACAGGCAGCATGACAGAGGCAAAAACAAGGAGTCACCCTGAGACAAAGGGACAGAGCAACCCTCAAATCGCACAAAGCGAGAGGGGGATGCGAGGGTCTCCACTATTGGACCCGAGAGCCCCCGGGGGGTTTCCCAGGGCTCCTAGACTGGGTCTGCTAAGGGTTATCCCAGGCAGGGCACTGCTAACCGGCGTCCCAAACTACCAAGCAAACTGCTAAAGCTGAACCCACGGGACGTGTCCACCTGTGAGGGCGAAGCAGGGGGTGCCACCACAAAACGAACCTAATATAAGGGGGAGGGGGGAATGCAAAGCAGCCCCCCTACCAGGCAAAAACAAATATAAAAGAAAAACCACACAAATGGACAACTTACCCAGAGGGAACAGGGCCGGCCGCTGTCATAGGTGAAAACTAGTTACGCAGTACCCTGCGCCCCACCAGTGCTATAACTCTCTTACCCCAAGGCAAACAAGGGAGGAAAACCCCCCAAACACTCGGGGCGGCCAAACGCCAACAGAGGTAGACCCAAGGTGACTTGTGGAAGGCAACCCCAAGCCCCAAGGGCAGTACTTACAGGGCACTCAGGGAAGGTGACCCTAAGCACATGCAGCCCAAATACCTGAGAATACTACTCCCAGCTCACACGACCACCGTAAGAGCAGCACTGCAAACAAGTCACAGCACCGAGACAAGACCGGAGCTGGAGCCACACGACCATGCACTATCCCATCAGCCGAGGAACTGTGGCAGGGATCGCTGGCATGGGGGTCTGGGGCTCCCTCCCTCCCTCTGGGGTGACTACACATAAGGGGCATAACTGGCCGACCCCTCACAGTGTTCAAGAGAGAACTGGATAAGCACCTCCAAAGGATACCTGATCAACCAGGCTGTGACTCATACGTCAGGCTGCGAGCAGCCGCGTCCAACAGTCTGGTTGATCAGTCCGGCAACCAGGAGGCCTGGTCGACGACCGGGCCGCGGGGACGTTAAGGCCCGGAAGCACCTCAAGGTAACCTCAAGGTAGGTAACCTCCCCCTTCCCCCTCCCGGGGAGGGGGGAGCTGCGCAGACATGCGGCGCGGCTCGTGTGACACCATGCTTGTTAGTTCGTTTTCCTGGGGGAGTTCTGTCCACTCGTTTGTCGATTTTTGTTGTTAACCAGAATAGGGGTTTGTTTTGTGGTGCTTACCTTTCTGGGTGCCTGTCCCGGTCGATGGCAGATATAGAATACTCCAAATCACATGTGCCATTCTATGGGCAATTGCTCCCCGTGCCTCTCTGAGGGGGCCAAGTTCTGGCTCATGGTCCCCGGTAGGCCTAGAACGCCACATACATCGACTGATGCAAAATAGTTAGGGTATCCATATCAGCCATGGATAGCTCCGGGGAGCCTCCGGGACTCGCCCAGAAAATGGCGTTTCATTACATTCAATGCTTTTTTTTTTTTTTTTTTTTTTTTTTTTTTTTTTTTAAATTCTCTCTGGGGCTAGCCAGCCATCTCAAGGACACCCTGTATTTTTTCCCGTAGATTAAGCCAATAGATAGATCTATTTTCGAAGCAGGGAGCCGAGCGGACAGCACGCGGGACTTGTGATCCTGTGGTCCCGGGTTCGATCCCGGGCGCCGGCGAGAAACAATGGGCAGAGTTTCTTTCACCCTATGCCCCTGTTACCTAGCAGTAAATAGGTACCTGGGTGTTGGTCAGCTGTCACGGGCTGCTTCCTAGGGTTGGAGGCCTGGTCGAGGACCGAGCCGCGGGGACACTAAAAGCCCTGAAATCATCTCAAGATAACCTCAAGATACCTCTTCATTCATATTAAGTACTGACTGGTTCTGGCTTGACAGATATAAAGTCAAACTTTTGATGAAAATTACATTGAAGATTAGCACAAGCTAATTTTAGATTAGATTAATAATTTGTTGGAATTGGAAAATTATCAAGAGTTTTGATTATTTTCCAATTTTTCTAAGTTTGGGAAACACTTAAACTTGCTGAGGCCAGTAACAGTTTTTGGCTTCTCCCACTTTAGGTGTGTTCTAGGGAGGATTCTGTTTTCACTGGCGGCAGTATCTTGAGTGAGATGTATTGAAGGTGGATATGATGTACACAACACAAGGGTGATTTAGCTTTGAACAGGCCTGCCACCTCTTGATGGCACATTGTAGCCTTTTGTTGAGTAGTCAATTAATTTTCCGAGATTTGTTTTTGGTTTGTTCAGAACGTTTTCCAAATAGTTCAGGTAATAACTCCCAGAACCCCATCAACCAGGTATCAACCAGGTAAGTGAGGCGCAAGCAAGCGCCTTTAACAAGTGAGGCGTCACAGGCAAGCCAAGCGCCTTCAACAAGTGAGGGCATGCAAGCGCTTCAACGAGTGAGGCCTCACAGGCAACCCAAATGCCTTCAACCAGTGAGGCTTCAGCAGCTGGCAGTCAAAACTAACTTTGCTTAATGAAGTGTACAGTAATGTTAATTAAGTGTTAATTTTAGTGTTGTGTTAGTATAGGTTATGTAAATTAAGAATTCTTAACTTCAAGATGTGTGGCATCAATCAAGAAGACGAACACCAACAAGGTAAGTTGAGGTTTCTAGTTGAATATTAATAGTTATGTGTGGCATGGCAATTCAAATTATGTTGTTTGTAGTATAAAAATAGTTGGAAATGGTCACTTTTGGACTCGTAGGTGAAAAAGTACCATTATCCGAAAAATGTGATAATCCGGCTGGGGGCCTTCCCATATAGTCCGGATGATCGAGTGGAGACAGTAATTGTAAAGACCCTTGTTTTCCAGTAGGCAGTCAAGTTAGAGCACACTGAAGTTTCAATAGTCTACCTAAATAGGCAGTGTGTAAGCTAGGATAAACACTGAAGTGGAGGGCTGAGAAATGTGTGTTTTGCAAAAAACTATGTTCAGAATGTGTTTTTCAAGAAAGGTAAATTTTTCTCTTTGCAGTGACAATGTGCATACGGACATTTTTGGAATGAATCTTTACCAAGAGTATGTGCGAAGACATCGTAGGAGCAAGAAGCATGTAGCTATGCAAGGGGCACGAGGGCTTGACCTTTCCACTCATGATTTTAAGGGCCTTATGGCAGATCAATGCTATTCTGTGTTAGTTAAGGTGAGTTCAATTAATATCTAAGTACCAAACCATTGATCTTGGTTGTCTGTGGAAGCCTTTTTCTATAGGAAGCATAGTGCGAACTCCCATTGATGGTTCTTTGGCTGTGATTACTGTACAGCACTATTTAGTTACCTGATTTGGGAACTACCTTACATACTAGATGCATATGCCATTTTCCATTGTAGATTATTTTACCCACTAAAGTGCAAAGGGGGTTAAGGTGTTCTGTAGGTTGTACAATGTTTTTTAATTAGGCCATATTTTAATGGTTGTTAATGTTTTCATCACTTTGATTTGAAATGAAAATGGTTGAGTTTGGAAACATTTTGATGTTAACATTAACTGAACATTTATAAAAACAACAAAAATATGTCCTTAACAACTGCACCATGGAAATTTTTGCCAAAAAAGGTGTGAAGAATAGGAGTGCAATAGGCAAAATTAGAGAATGGTATATGAACATGAGAGCTTCACAGCTATACAGTATCCTCCCAGCTAACATAAGACATATCATATCGCCAGTGCAAAAGTGGATGTGTTCGAGAGAACATTCCGCATTCCAGCAAGAAGTAGTGAACCATCCAGATTGTAGTGGGTATGTGTAGGCTTGCAGGCTCCTCTATAAGCAACAGCTTGTTGGACTAAGTTACTACAAGTCAAGCCTGGCCCCCTCCCCCCCCCCCCAAGCGAGGGTTGTAGAAAAACTCCCAGAACCCGCCTGGGTATGCTCCAGGCCTGGCCCACTCAATTTACCAGTGCCTCCTGCCTAGTGACTATCCCACCTGAATTCTTTGCAAGGATTTACAGTTTTTCAGCTATTTGAACATAAAAGTTATTACAGTATATATCTCGCCATGGGTCCCAAGAAAGCCAGTGGTAACATTCAAGGCAAGAAAACATACGTGAGAATGACCATAAAGGAAAAAGAAGAGATCATTTGTAAACATGAAAATGGTACACGTATTGTTGAACTAACTAGGCAGTACAACAAATCTTCAGGGGGGATGGGGAAGGGGAAGGAGGAGGCAGTAGAGGATGTCCCTTCCCCATTAATTAAGAAAATGTGTGCAGTATGGGAAGAACTGCTAAAGAGTTTTCATTACAAACAAAATACCATAAATACAGGGGACTTAAGTACACCTATAGTACATTTGACTGTACTCCTGTTGTAATGATGTATATAATTACTGCAAACAATGTCCATTGCTGCTTACCTGAAAAACAAAATTTATGATTCTCTTATCTTTTTGGACGAGTCGCCTGTTTTTTTAATGATGAACTCACCTAGTGGACCGCTCTCATGCTATGGTCATCCAAACAGTTGTCTTGTTTGAAATGCTCCACAGTTACATTATAATTCTTTTACTAGGCTCTCCACTGTTGTCTTGTACAGTACTGTACTCATAAGACTATCTGCTGCACCCAATTGTTTATTTAGAGCCACTCCTCTTATTTATACAGTGTGTGTTGACAGTAATTATCCTACTAACCCATTTTTGTTTCTCATCTGCAGACGGGGGTGTTTAATGGCCAGCAACTTCTTGAGCACTCGCCTCGAGACTTTCTTCCTGTGGAGTCCAAACTTCAGGAACCATCAATTACAGTAAAGTGTGTGTTGGAAGCAATCACTAATATATTTAAAAAGGAAAAGTTTTCTTGAAACCAATCTCGGCCTTAGTTAATACCAAAACATAACTAATTTATTCTTAGTTCTATTCCTCCATGTTTACCGTCTTCTGGACTCGACAAATATTAACGTCAACACTGCAGACAATAATGTTTCTAAGGGAAAGTGACAGTGTCAGACCACGGAAGAAGAATTGAAACAGGAATTTCCTTAAGTACTTTCGTATATTAATAACACTTTGATGCACCCGGTACCCGCGAAAAAACTCTGCGCATTGTGTGCGCGGCGTTTTTTTCTCATGAGCGTAAACACCAAACAATGTGCAATCTTTTCACTCTCCTAACACCAATACTCGAGCTACGTATTTCCTTTTGGTATCAATGTGTTGGCAATAAAATTCTCTACAAGATCATATGTATAAAATGTAACCAAAGCATTAGCTATTCCACCACGAAATAAATAAAAACGTAGATCACTCGCCGTCTCGCCGTACGCCCAAACAGCTACAAAATGTTCATACTCTTTTGTTTGTTGTCAGCTCCACATTAGTCCTACAGCGTTAAATTTTATATCACTGAACTCGCAATAAAATTCTCTACACAGACATATGCATATAAATGTAGAATCATGATCGCGGCCAACACAAGAGTGTGTGAAGTGGGCGATTACCCTCGTTGTGTCACCAACTCAATAGTCTCTCCTCTAAGTTACAATACAATGCCGTTTTCTCAAATAGGCATTGTGCCTATTAGAGAAAACGGAAATTTAATGGCAAACATTCATACAAACCCCAAGTCGATCGAGTAGTATATACCCACTATAACACGGACCGTAAATGTACGACGCGACCCCACAAGCGCTTAAATAAACCGCCCGTACATCCAAGTGTAGGGGGCAGAAAAGTGTTTAATACATCTTCAGAAGGAGTCATTAATATACGAAAGTACTTAAGGAAATTCCTATTTCAATTCTTCCTCCGTGGTCTGACACTGACACATTTTTAATCACGTGTTTATTTTTCGTGATTTACACACCTAAGGGAAAGTGTGTGGTATAAATGGATAAAACACAATGATGTGTAATTGTTTGTCATGTACATACAATATGTGATCATTTTGATCACATATTGACAATACCATGGCGGCAAACCCCTAACTTGTGGTCATATTTGAACTTTCCAGTAGTCATAAACAATGGAGTGTGTCAGCTTTGAGTAATATTGTGTTCTGAAATTGTGCTAATGAGTTAAATAGTGTACTTTATATAAAGTTGATCAAGTACTAGACTTGACCAGTCATTTATAGTTGGGTGCATTACATGTACCTCTACTCAAGTCTTGCCTACAAGCTTAACATCTTTATTTGCTCTGTGCACACATGATTCTTCCTGGAATATGTTTTGTATTTTTTCCACACCAATTTTTATGGCTAAACAGAATTACGTCATAAAAATTAGTTAATGAGCAGTAAATTAGGAGCTTCTTAATACAAAACCAGTAATGACTTTTCAGAACACTAATGTATTTTTCATTAATATTTGGTTACCAGTAATTGATAATACTCAAGTAATTTGCAGACGAGGAGTCAATAACGTGGCTGAAATATGTTGACCAAAACCACACACTAGAAAGTGAAGGGACGACGACGTTGAGACTGTCGACTTGAGACATGGTCACACAATCGACTTGTTTCGGTCCATCCTGGACCATTCTCGTTGTCGTCCCTTCACTTTCCAGTGTGTGGTTTTGGTCAACTCAAGTAATTTGCTTAGTTTAGTTGTGGAGTATGTATACCAGCACATGTAAACACTGAAAACGCCTAACAAAAAACACTTAAACACCTTCCTATATGTTCTTGAGTAACAAATTGTGAAAAGTTGCTTTCTTTACAAGCTGTAACAATTTTATAAAGCATTCATTTTATGAATAGATTTTTTCCACTGTTTCTCCATATTAATATATTTTCAAAGTACAGGCAGTCCCGTAACTACGAAAGAGTTATGTTCCGAGAATGTATTCGTAAAGCAGTTGATCGGAATGTGAAGCGAGATTTTTCATAGGCGCATGCTATAAATGGGAGGTGCGTTCCCAGGCCACCAAAAATCCTCACAAAAGCAATATTTTTGGACATACAATATAAAATACATAATGTATTATCTATCTTGAATTATGTTGTCCTGCTTGTCAAAGTTAGCTGTTTTTGAGGAGTGAAGAGATATGTGACAGAAGATGGAGATGCATGGGTGGCAGCGGGAGGCAGTGCGGCTCGGTGGAGAGTGGCAATGCTTCAGTGGCAGTGAGAATTTTCAATTTCACTGGCTACATTTGATGTGGGAGGTGATAGGTTGGTGGCAAACATCTGTGGGTCATCATCACTGTCACAAGCTGCTGTAGAAGTCGTTTTGGGTCGGACATTTTCTTAGATTGTTGAGGCAATTGATAGTGACTTTTTAAGGTGATTGCTGGGCTAGAGACTTTGTGGGGAAATATTTTCTCAAAGAACTTTGCTCAGCTATCTTCTTTTCCTAGTATATTTGCTTGTAGGGTGCAAGGCCGTGAAATATCATTTTTGAGGCATTTTGATATCTCAGCATCGTCATCTTGGTCTTCCAAAATTGCCAAGGCATTATCTACAGCTTAAATGCCTCTGCTAGTCTCTTGGCTGTGAATAGTTTCACTGGCGGAGTCTCAACAACCAACTCCTCCGGAGAAGCTTAATCTTCAATCCTTGCTACTTCCAGCTCCATAAGGTCTTCATTTGTGAGTGCCCCTGAATGGATTACAACAACTCTTCCACATCTTCTTCAAGGTGCAGATCCCTTGCAATTTCAACAATGTGTTTAGTCGGCTCTTGCAACAGTCGTCTTGGGCCATCAATCATGGCTTAAAGTTCTCTGCAACTAAGACTTGTATTATGACTTTTACTCAAAAGCATATCGTCCTTCATCCTTCTTTGTCACTTTATGGTCATCACCTTGTGTACAAAGATTCCGTGAAGCTTTTGGGGTTAAGCACGCGATGAGTCACAATAACGTGGCTGAAGTATGTTGACCAGACCACACACTAGAAAATGAAGGAACGACGACGTTTCGGTCCGTCCTGGAGCATTTTCAAGTCGATTGTGGAGTTAATCTTTGACACTCGTTTGTCTTTGTTGCCCCATATCTCTTACCTCAGAGTTGAATGCTCTAAGGCTCTCAACCTACTTAAGGTTTTGTCCCATACGTTTTGGGGAGCGGATAGGCGCATGCTCCTCTATTTGCACTCCTCTCTTGTCCTGTCTAAACTCAATTGTGGTTGTCTTGCATACTCTTCTGCTTCTCCTTCTACTCTTTGGTGTCTTTGTAATAACTCGACCACGCACCCCGTTACTTCCACTGAAATAATCATGTAATCTCCGCTCCTTCTATGGTAATAACAGATGCTATACCGATCATGTAAGATGTTAACACTCGGGCCGTCATACGAGGACGTAAACCAGTAAACAGAGGAGAGAGAGTTCAAGTATGTTTATTGAGATAAGCAATAAATACATCTCAAAGGGATAGAGTAGCTTAGGCTATTTCTACCCCCTCTACTTCAAGTCCCTCAAGGGGCGCACAAATTCAGTGAGTACAAATAGACAAATAACATTACAAGAATCCCATTTAACATTGCAGGTTTATATAGTAAGTATAGCATATAATTGTTACACTCTAGGGGCAAAATTCTTAGAGAGAGAGAGAGATAGTGAGGCAGAGCGAGAACGAGAGCAAGTGAGACAAAAGGGAGAGGGAGAAACTAGTGAGGGAGGGGGAGACAGAAAGATAGAGGTATTACAGCCACAGCCTTCGTATGAGTTACTGAGGAACGCTGCCACCACCCTGAATTACTGGACAGAGGACCGGAGTGAGATTTGTAGGTCTTGCAGATGGAATAAACCTACCAGGACAGGTGTAGGGGACAATTGAACGGTACAAGGATCCTGGCCTGACACTCGAATAATCCTGACCACTTGGGAACTATAGAGTACACAAGAATAAGGCGGGACACACCCACTACTAACACCTCAACATGGGACGGACGGAGGGAGGAGTACTGGATAATTACGGACACTAGGTCACTAGGGCAAAGGGGACGGTAGGCCCGATATCACTAAGACAAATAACCATTAATACACATTTACTAACACTTGACAATATATGACTATTTGAAATAGTTAAATAAGACACTCCCTAACTATATTCCCTACTAGAGGCCAAGAGTACTGAATGAGGTGCTTTAGTACAAGAGCCGTACTTACTCGTATAATGTTCCACCGTTTTCCTGGAGATGATGTTCCATCCCTGAGTCCACTCACACCGTCCTACTGGGCTGCACCTACTCTGTCTCTCCCATGATCTCCTGCTCCCCAGCTGAACATGAGGGTTTGCATTTGGTGTTTAGGGGTTAATCCCTGAAGATTATCATGACGGCATCAACTCTGACCTCTTCGTGACTCGGTGACCATTGACCTGTACTCCCGATTAACGGTGCCGAGGTGTAACTTTTTCCATTGTCTGCCGCCGCCTGACAGGCGCCACGCCTGTGGCTTGGTCATGCTGTTATGATGTAGGTTGTACTACTATGTACTACTCTCTTGTTACATATCCCCCAATGTCCCGGTTTAAGAAAAACCGTGGGCGAGGAACTCGAACATGGCTTTTCTTATCCCAGACCATAAAGGAACTAGCACATGCCTGGAAAAAAATAGCTACTCTATCTTAATATACACATCTCACAGTCGAGAAATATTTATAAAAAACTCTACACAATAACAGTTACCATGGTAACTCAAAATTCAGGCTGACCATACCCGCAATGGCAGCCCAGCAATCCTCTTGGATGACAAATCAACATTAATTTGAAAAAAACACACACACAATTTATGATGAACAATTAAATTTATATTGGAACCATCTTTCCGCTGGTTCCCCAGTTCACCAGAGTCTACTCAAAATTTGTCATTCATAACTTATTTTCTCTATAACGGTGAACACCAAGTTTTCTGAACTTTAAAAAAAACTACATACATTGTATATACAAATTAACAAATAGTCTTTATTCCTGACTAGTCCGTTGTCCCGATGTTGTTGACTCGCCCATTGCTGTATTCTCGCTGTAGTACTGCAATGATGCGTCGTGTTCTTCACCAACGATGTTCTTCAGCTGGCCTCAGTTGTTGTGAGAAGAGATCCACTCCCCTCCTGACTAGAGTCTTCCACTGATCTAGTCCACAATCCGCAGTACATCCGCGCTGCTGGTCCATCCTTCTGGGTCGTCGACGAGGCGATGATGTCGGTGTTGACAGTGATGATTGACTTGCTGTCCAGTCACAGGAGGAACTCTGGCGTACCTGGGTTCCATCATCTTGTGTTACGGCCCTCTCGGGTCGCAACCGGGTTCTTTCTCTGATGTTGTTAGAGGTAGGGTATCCGGCCCCAAGCTAGTAGTGGCTTTCAAGGGATGTGATCCGTAACGCAAGTAAATTAAAGGAAAAGGGAGACAAAGACAAAAACTTAATAATATAATTATTACCGTCACCATAAATAATATATATAAAAGGTTACACGGGGGAGGGGTATAAACACTATTGTACAACGTTGTCTTCTTCTGA